CATTGCTCGCCTCATCTATCTTCTTTAGTTTTAGCCCCCCACAAAAGATCTTCCAGCCACTTGCTGATGACAAATCCTTGATGTCGTTCCGATCTTTTAACTATTGTCTAGCTACCGATAGTAGGTCATCTTTCAAGCTTGCTCCATCGCTCACTGCAATACCAGCAACGGCCACGTCATTGAAATGTTGGGCTTGGTGGCTAAAGTGCATGCTCATGAGCAGGGAAACCCTGTTGATCTGGGAAAGGACCCAGGCAAGGGGCACATCATGCTACCAATGCAACACCATGCCTGGTTGATTGGGGCAGGACGAGATGCCTTTCACGCAGACTTTCAAAATACAGTACACTTGCCGGAAAGAGCTCGTGACAAGGTGGACTGTAACTCGACTTCGACTCGAAACAACCACCAGTAACTGTAGCTATCCATTTTTTGCAGCCCTTCTCATGAGCATAAAAAAATACCTGAGCACCTGAAAATGACAATATCCGGCAGCCATCGCATGCACATGTCTTTTTATCCCAAGGGCAGCCCTGCTCACGAGCATACTTAGGAATGCCAGATGGCCATGTGATGCAGCATTGTTGCAGATGGTTTCATCCCAAGGATCGACACCCATTCGTGCCGTGGCAGTAGCGGGCTCGAACTTCAGTGGGTAGCGGTATTGCCGAGCCAGAAAAGTGACAATCGAGTATGGATCGTCTCCAAAACTTTGGAGGATCCTCCACAGAATGGAAGAATCTCCTCTCATACAACTGCCTCATTCGCTTGTTGACATCAGCCACGAAGACAGATAATGCCCAATGTCAAGGAAAGGGAAATGTTTTCAACCCAAACATCGTTCGTCTGAGTCATGAGCAAACCAATGCCGCAAGGAAAAGGATCCTGGAGGTCTTGCGAAATGCGAAACCATGGCAGAAGATTGATATCCTGTTTCTCATTTGTAGTCTCGGACTTCGTCCCATGCTTAATTGTAATGGAGGAGGCGGGTTACTATGCGGTTATAGAGGGCACTGTCACTCAATTCACTCTGCATGATCCGAGAGAGAACCTTCGGCGTTTTCGTAATCAATTCTGCGGGAGGCACAGGTCCGAATGTTGAATCGAGTCGAGTCTATTCGCTTGAAGATGCGATTCATGCAAATCAGCGGATACCTGCACGTTCGAATTTCAACTTCCACGACGACACGAAAAACCGTTGCTGAAAGGCAGCGAGGTAGAAGGGTACCGTAAGACGAGGCGAGGATGAATGCCCTTCAACAATGCAACAGTGCAGGGACCGGGCTCTGTTGCTGTTTGCACGATCGAATGGACGATGTGTTTTGCTAGGAAGGTGCAAGCAAGTTTTGCTGGCTGGAAGGCAGCGAGGCGCGAAGCTACATAACCGTAAGACGGGCGAGGATGAATGCCCTTCAACGATGCAACAGTGCAGGGACGGGGCTCTGTTGCTGTTTTGCACGATCGAATGGACGATGTGTTTTGCTAGGAAGGTGCAAGCAAGTTTTGCTGGCTGGAAGGCAGCGAGGCGCGAAGCTACATAACCGTAAGATGGGGCGAGGATGAATGCCCTTCAACGATGCAACAGTGCAGGGACCGGGCTCTGTTGCTGTTTTGCACGATCGAATGGATGATGCGTTTTTCCTGAACGGTTCAAGCAAGTTTTCGCTCAAGGCGCCGAAGTGTTCGGGTCCTCTCGGTCAGGGCAATATATTCATGTCCTTCGAAAAATCTCACAATTCCGATCAAGGAATAACTTGGAAGGGCATCATACCAAAGCATCCAGATCAACCACATCAAATTGTGCACCTCTTTCCTCCCCTTTCCCGTTGGTGGGAGACGTTGCTCTGTGCCTGGCCACTGGTTCCCACCAACACAACAACGAAGCAGTCCAAACAGCCAGTCTCGCATCCTCCTGAGCTTGGTTGATCGTATGAACGAGATAGGTGGCAACAAATCTTGTGCCGACATGGCTGGAATTGGACAAACTGCTAGAAGAGGCGCAGGTTTCCCCCAGACTCCTACGCCAATCGACAACAGCTTGTCCAGGAGCTGGATCTATGTTGGTTGCCACGAACGATTGGGTTTGCACTGCGATTCTTGGAAGGAAAACTCATTCTTTCCCGCACTCTTTCCGATCTTCAAGATCGGAATCATTCGGAAAGTATAAATATTTTAATCAGAACATTTATGGCAAGCAGTTACCGCATTTTTTTAAATGAGGAAGTCTGTAAAGAAGCATCTATTTAATGGTCACGGAGAAGCATTCAATTTTAAAATAGGATTACACGTATTTCCCAGGTAACTGTACTGCATAAGACAGGGGATAGGTGCCACTGTACCCGGTACCGGTAGCTACAGGGGCTCGCTAAGCTGGGGAGGGAGTGTGGTGGGGAATCTCAATCACGCCCATCCAGTCAGTCCACGAAGCCAGAATCGAATCGAATGATACAATCACGTACTTTTCAAACTCGTGGTCTGGTGACGCCGTCTGGTCTACATACACAGAACAAAGAAACACGAAACCCCATTCTAGTCCCAGTATGACTTTTTCAGCCACGAAGAGCTTCGCAACTTCTGACTGTCACTTAGAATTTTCTAGGAGGCATCACGAAAACTCGTTGTGAATCACGAGGTGTATAAAGAACATCGAGGTGGAATGCTTGCTCTGATTGGCTATGGCAGTGTCTTGTGCGTGTACCTGGTACAGTTGGCATGGGGACTGATTGGCAATGGATCGATGTCATTCCTGAACACAGACTCAGTATGCAGTACTCTGCTAGGAGTTACGAAGTGACTCATTTGTAACACCTAATGATGTATTGGTATCGACCGCTGACGACGATGACAACAATGCAATTACAAAAAAACATATAATTTTGGGATCGGACCGAATGGATCATATAATACTTTCTGGAGTTCTGCCAAAATTCATGCGGGATATGATACTACATAAAGAGGTCTTTTTGAAAGGCTCTTGCATGCCTGGCGACGTGAACCTCCCAAGAGAACGAGCAAAGAATGCCAACTCCTTACAAGGTGTTTGTCTAGCAAGAAGAATGCTGAACAGCCCCTCATTCAGTACGCCTTCCTCGATTGCTAGCTAGCTAGTGCCGGTACAGCCACAACGGCAATGTCACGTCCTGGAGTCATGCTAGCGATGGTGGTGATGGTGATGATGATGACGAAAAAGGTCGAGCCCATCCTCTCGAGGTACCGTGATGGTATGCTCACTCGTCAATCACAGTAATCCGGTTGCTTTCAGGCTCCCGTAAATGCAAGGTGGCGTGACAATCCGGACTGCGAGACGACGATTTTCCCATATCCGTGTAGCAAGCTCCTCATTGAAAAGGTTGAGCTCATCCTCTCGAGGTACCATGTGACGGTCTACTCACTCGTCAAACAATCACAGTACCAGTACTACCGGAGTAGGAGCGTCCACATATTTTGCCTATGCCGCAGGTGGTCCCCAGTTGCCTATGGATACCGGTAGTAGGAGGAGAAGACTCATGCACTTTATATTTTTTAGTGGAATCGAATCGAATCGAATCCAATCGAATCAAGCGCACTGCACGATCAACAGAGGTGCATGATGAATGAATGAATGAATCGAATCCACATTGATTGATTGGTTGGTTGGTGGATCGATCGATCCATGGATCAATCGATCGATGGTAGATTTGTGGGGAATGTGAAGCGAATTGTCGTTTTGATGTTGGGCATTTTAGTCAAATTCTACGAATCGAATCGAATCGAATCGAGTCTACCGTCCACTCTGTCGATGACGACCCAACTGCCAAAGAGCTGCCACAACCACGACAGCACTAGCTGCCATGACGACCAAACTGCTCTTGTTGTTGTTGTTGTTGTGTTGTTGGAATCTTTTTCGTAGCTTGGAACGTATCAAGTAGGGTACCACGACATGTTTCTGTTCCCATTTCACGACCGCTTTTTGAAATGCCGGACGAGCCCATAACCGTTCGGTGTACGCCACAATGGCGGGATATTGGCTGGCATAAAAGAGGTCGGCGATATTCCGAAACTTGAATCTGTAGAGGACGACGGCCCATTGACAATCCGCCAAGGTGTACTGGTGGTCACTGCACAGCCATCCTTGATTATTGGGTGTAGTAGAAAAGGGCCCGTTGACAAGTTGTTGATTCAGTTGTTCCATGGCAGCATGAGTAGCATCCATGACTGCCTTCAGTTTGAGTGGTTGCTCCATCATGTCCTGATTGATCAAAATCAAATCCAGCTTGCCCTGATAGGAATCTCTTAGGTAATTATCGTCTTTGTGGACGTCAATAAGTTGTCGTAATTCCTTGGCGGCTTGTTCATGAGTGCCCTTGACCAAATGTCGGTAAGGAGAGGGAAGTGGAGGAGCTCCAGGGATGGTTCCAAATGTCAAGACTTCACAGGCTACCCCATCTCCCAAGGCCACAAATTGTTTCACCAGAGCTTGTTCTTTTGGATTGCTTGTAGGTGGCATCAGATGGATGCTATTATGCATATCACTACTGGTGCTATTTTTAATACCCACTGATGATGAGGTAAATTCTTTTGATTCCAGATAAAACATGATATTGGTAGTATCGGTTGTCACCTTGCCCGTGGGAGTGACCAAGGTGGGTACGACACAGCGTCGATTCAAGCGCACATAGTCCGGCTCGTACTGTTCATGGACACCCGCCACAATGGTGACATGATGAGACTCATATGGCAGTTGCTTTTCTTCCAGCACTAGGCGAGTCACTTGACTGCACAGCGACGTGGCAAAATGGTACAAATGGATTTTATCGTCGTAAGGAGCAAACGCGTTGGATTCAGCAGTCACGCACTGCAAGACAGAAGCTACCGATGGGTCTGTATACGGATTCAGACCACTGCTGCTGACAGTTGCCGTAGCTTCATCAGACATCTTATCCATTGCTTCTTGGTTATTATTATTAATATTGTTGTTATTGTTGTTCATGGTCCACTTGTGGAGATTATGGCAAGGATCCAAGAAAACCGTTCAGTACGAGCCGAAAGATCTTCAAAGATCCATCCGAGGATCCTCAATGCAAAGATCTGTTTGGCGCGCGCGCAAAGATTCAAAGTAAGGGTTCAGGCTACAACATGCATCAGACATTTTGTGACGTTGCCGACAAGAAGGAAACCAACACAACACTCCGAAGGATGCCGCCCTTGGACGCAAGAAGAAACATGTCACGCTGCTGCTGGTCTATCATACTAAGCTCGAGATAGCTAGTAGTCTAGATATTATTATGTATGTTTGCTTCGAGTGAGTAGTCCAAGTATGGCAAGAAAAACAGTAGTCATTGGCAGTAGCGGCACTATGCCTACCGTACCGGTATCGTATGGATGTGTTGATTGTTTGGGGGTGGTCACTTACTTTGATGCAAGCAACGGGCAATCGGTGGCTGCCCTGGCAAGTCTGGACAGGACTTTGGGGGAGCGATTCGATTCAGCCATAATGAAATCATTTGCCATGGGTGGTAAAAAGACGTGACAGTACTAAAGTAGGCTGTGTTGAAAGGATTCTACTAGTAGAAGACTTGGGGCCTTGTGCAGCGTGCAGCCATCGGAGGAGCGAAATAGAATAGAATTGCTGGGATTCATGGTACAGTACAAGACTAACTACAGAACAGAAATGCGGCTTACCGCAGAATGAATTGCGTTCCTACTGTACTGTACAAGCTTGATAAAAAGATAGCTTCGACATGGCCTAGCTACCTAGCTCTAGCTAGTAGGACTTCATAGAGAAGCCAGGATAAGTAAGTCTTTCCAAAAGGCGAGCAAACCGCCAGACTTCGATGCCACCGGCACTTTGGGTTCTAAATCAAAACAGCAGAGTGGGTTTGCATCGAGTGCCTCTAGGAATCTGCTCAAGCACGGGGCGGTCGCGGTTGCAACCTCTGAACTCCAGCGGCAGTCAGCAATTTTAAAAGTGTCTCGCAGATACTGGTACTCAGGCAAAGGACAGAAACTACAGTACTGCAATTGGACTGTGACTGTACATGAGGATGCTGCTCGGCACTTGTGGCTCTCGGATGGGTACAACAAGCATGCAGCCATCATCATAGGCTCACAATCTAGCTAATCTAGAAGAAAAAGACTTCAATACAAATCAGCCTCAAGCAAAGCAAACAAAATGAAAGTCACCCTCAAAGCAACCTTCCTTCTCTCCATGGTCCTTGCCGTGACCATGGCGGCACCGAGTGGTCTCCGAAACTCTACTCCAAACAATAAAGAGACTGCGAATAAATCTGCTCTATCCTACATGCGACGTCTTCTGGAGAACTTTCTGGGAGGATTTCAGGCTGGTAATATTCGTGGACAAGCAATACTATCAAGCCGTCCACTCTGGCAAATACTTGACAGTGCCCTTTGGCAATAACGATCTGCTCACAGTGCGAGACGAGTTTGGCGATCTCTCTGAATTCTATGTGCGGGATGCCGGTGACGGCGCACTCTTTTTGACCAATGCCTTTTATGGAAAGCGAGTGGGACAGAATCCCGACTCGGGAGCGCTCGAGTTGGTCTTTCCGCACGGAGTTCATGATCGTAACCACCATCGTCACTGGTACCGTCCCGGTACCGTCACGAGGTTCCGTGTGGAGACGGCAACGAGGATGGCAACTGCTTCATTTTTGAGAATCAAGCCACAGGGGATGTCATGTATTCCAATTCGGACGGGCGATTTGACATTTGCTGTTCTGGACAAAGGTACTCGGATCAAGTCTGGAGGATGTCCAACCAACCGTACTAAGATAAGCCAAAGCAAGCAATCGTAGCATTCTGCTTCGGTTTTGCCTTTAGTAGTCCGTACATCGCTCCGTACACAAATTTCGAAGCTCGATCGTTTTCCGACAATGACTTTGTTGTTGTTTAGATGCTAAATAATTTTCACGGTTCGGAGGAGGCGACGGGCTGGCGAGCGATGCCATGCTCAAGGCAGTACGTAATGTCTTATAACTAGCTAGCTAGAGGTTGAACTCAATCTCCTTATCAGTTAAAGCTGCTGTACGACACAAAAGGTGTGTCATGAAGGTCGCAAACTGTTCTCGCTGAGCACGAGTTTGGCGGTATCGACGTGGATCCACGTTGCACTTGCTGGGATCGCTGCATCAATGTGCGGCGGGTTCTGGATTGAAAGGAGGTTGCAACTGCTATGCTGGAGAAGTCTTGGTGGTCTAGCTGTTGTGCAGAGTGAAGCGTGCACTCTTTTTGATTCATGAGTTCGCAACCAAGTCTCGCGAATGCGTCAACACTGAGACACGAGCGCAACGGAATCCAGCCACGGACTCAAACTGATATATTAGAGAGGAAGCTGCTGGAACCAAGGTCATCGGTACTAGTGAAGTCGGTATTGTGGCGGTGAAGAGGTGGAGCTTGCTCTGGTTCCTTTTCGTCCTCAAAGTTGTCCTTTTCGACTGCTGATGCGTCCACAGCTTTCACCTGATCATCTTTGAATTCGCGCACTGTTTTGTCTTTCTTGGCTGCCTTCCAGCGACGAATGCCATTGACAATGAAGTAGTCATAAAGCGCAACGGCAACCCCATTTCCAACCATGATGAAAACAAGTTTCCAGCGGAATGACATGGGCATCACAGTTGTGTTGAACGGATTGAAAATGGGAGCTAGGTCGGGACTTGTAACCGAACGGACCACGTCTTCGTTTTCGCAGTTGATTCGCCAAATACAACTGACTTTTGAGGGTACCAGAGTTATGAAAAAGTGAAGAATAGTGAACCCAATCACAAGAACAGCAAAGGACCAGTTTCGACCCCACCAACGACGGAACTCGTAGCCAAAGTTCATGGTCATGGCGGAGCACAGACATTGAAAACCGGTAACAAGGAAGATGACAGTGATCTCATAGTTGTCACTTGTTTGAAGAATGTTGGCCGTGGAGATACTGTTGCCCCATTTCCTGCACTGGAGGGTTTGGCATCGAGATCGAGTCATTGCAAAGAGTGAGAAAGTGTATTCATCAATGCCAAGCTGGACACCAACACATCTATTTACTTACCTGATACCAATCCTCGTTGAAGAGGGTGACGAAAGCAATCGTAATAAAGATGAAATGGATGAGCATTATTCCAACAACACTTGACACAGTTTGAACTCCGTAAATGGAAGATGTTGGCCTCGTCTTCGAGAGTAACGGGCTTGGAAGAGCCCTAGGCAACGTCAAAGCAAATGAAATCGTCCAGAACCCATCAATCAACGTCCACATCCACTCAGAGAAGGACGCCTGGAAGTAGTACATGATAAGCTGGTTGTAACTTGTGATTTGTCCGTAAAGAACCACATACTTGTACGTGGCCATTGTGGAAGCCAAGGCACCTCGACCTTCTTTGAGGACTTTCAACACCCCAATGATTTCTTTGTCCAAAGCAGTGAAGGGGGCCACAATGCTGGCGTCACTGTCACTCAGTGCCAAACCGACATGCGCGGCTTTCAGGGCTCCGCAATCGTTTCCACCATCACCACACATCATGGTTACAAAGCCAAGGGATACAAACGTGTCCACAACGGATACCTTGTCCTGTGGCGAGCAGCGGCCCACGACGCGAAGACTCGGAGCCAAGGCAAATGCGTAGGTGCGTTGTCTCGACAATAACTGTTGCCAGGCTTCTCCTGACATTACAACCTGCGTGCGTTCTGTTACATTAGGCGCAGTCTGAGGATTGTCCTCTTCGTCAGTCCAGACTATCTCTTCGTGAGTTTCAATCAGCTGGCCGATCGTCACCGATTCACCTTTTGGAATGATCCCAGACTTTCGGGCAATAAATATTCCAGTGTACAAGCTGTCACCTGTCAAACAGATGGGTTGAACATTCGCCTGATTGAGCTCTTGGATCACGGCTGGTGTGTCTTCTCTGATCTCATTGGAAAAGTTCAAGACGCCTTGGAAGATGAGACTGCTTTCCACGTCGCATCGTGCGAGCTCGTTCACGGAAGTCCTGTTTGGAAGGTCTTTCCAGCCCACTGCGATCTGATAAATGCCCAGCCTAGATTGTCCCCCAAGTTTGCTTTCAAAGGATGCCGGCAAGCTTTCTGGACCACAAAGCTTGCTGATATTCTCTCCCGATCCCTTGACAATGGCCTTAATCTCGCCGCTTGGCAAACGAACGACCACACTTTGTGTCATTGTATTGTGGTCAAAATCGAATCTACGCAGAACCTCATAGGTTCCAGCCTTCGTCTTGATGGTAGCGGACGCTCCCGACACGTCGATCATCTTAGCTTTCGTGGCAGCAAACATAGCTCTGTCAACAGGGTTCCCAATGATGTTCTTCTCAGCGGAGACCGTGAGGCAGTGACAAGTGGCCATGGCAATGTCGATTGAGTCACTCCTCCATTGACCATATTCCCAGCTCTCGGCAGATCGAGCTGAAACAAAGTCTAGGCCTTGTTTCGTTAATGTCCCAGTCTTATCGAAGAATCTGAGATATTTGCAGAGCGAACACAAATGAGATACGAATTGCTTTTGGCACGGTTATCCTTCCATCAGATCTTACGAAATGCTAACTTTGCCAGCAATCAAAATGCTATCAGAATTAGAGCAGGCGATCTTGTTCTTGGACAACCTATTGAAGGAGATGCCAACAGGCACTGTGAAACTGATTGGAAGGAGTGCTGGGAAGCAGTTGGCAAAGGCGGTCCTGCAGAGCGAACACAAGTGAGATACGATTCGGTTTTGGCACGGTAATACTTCCATGAGATCGGAAGAAGGCGATACTCCCAACGTACATTCCAAGGGACCAGGCAATGACGGGTTCACTGCCCGAGCCAAAATACACCAGAAGGAAGAGAACTGAACTCCATGCAACAAGCGTAGCAACAACCAACGGGATTTGAGTTTCAAGCTTGGGCGTGTATTGCCGGAAGGAGATGATATCGCGGAGGAGTTCTCCTTTCATGGTGTATGAAGCTGTGTTCTTGACCACAGCCAGGGCATCATCGCATTCCAGAATCTTGGTGCCAGCCGCAACGAGCTGTTTCTTATGAAGTTTGGGGTTGAACACACTTGTACTGCGCATGTCAATCGGTGACTTTGCTTGTGGAGTTGCTTCTCCCGTCAATGCACTCTCATCCACGATGGCCTCGCCTGTGAGAAGAAGCATGTCGCAGTATGTAACGCCGGGGCTGAGCTTGACTGTGTCGCCAGGAACAAGATCGATTTGGTCGATCTCAACAAAAGATCCATCACGCAGAACGGTTGCGGAACCTTGAATGGAGGAGAGCTGGAATAGAACAAGGGCACCCTGGAAGCGGAGCCAAGAGACGACACAGATTGTGATCAGAATGATCCCCCAGTTGACAATGGCCATATGCCAGTATTGAGTGGTAATCCCTGAAATTGAAAAGGTTGAGACGTTATCGCGTCAGAAAGTTCCAGCAAGCAATACGATTGATCATTGGCAGTCATCAGCCATGCACAGCACCAGAACTCACAAATCCAAAGAATGTAGAACTGATAGATGTAGAATGGCTTGTTGCTTTCTTCGAGGAAAACAGATACGAAGGACGGCTCGGTCATGTCAATGACGTTTGGCCCCACAGCCCTGTATCTTTCGTCTACGTCCTGCTTGGACAAACCACGCCCGTTCACACGGTACTTGACAGTGGGCTCTTTTCCGTCAATGACACGCTGCAGGGCGAGTTCCATGGGATCAATCGTTTCAATTCCTGCTGGAGCAATCTCCGCAAATGTCTTGCCACTCTCTAATGTTCCTGGTTCAAAGATGCCCTTCTTCTCATCAAAGTTGTATCTACGAAAGAGAAAGACAAAGTACCTGGATCCATCAGTAGGGTTCTTGAGGACGGGACAGTACTGAATCATTGCCTTCTTTGGGTCGGGTCGTTCTCCTGCACCGGCATAGATGAAGCTCATGGCAGTTGAACCAACTGAGGTTATGCCTTGAATGAACCTTTGAAAGGCAGGAAAGATGGAATCTTCCTCTGGTATCTTGGGGCCTTGTTGAATCTCGTGGTAGATGGCGACCTGGGTAGCCTCTGAAAGGGTGCAGCGACGCAAGAAGATGGCTTCCAGACTCTGTGGGTACTTGAGCCAGAAACTCCACAGCAAGCCCACGTTCCACACAACTGCAAACATTTTTAAGGTCAGGATGAGGTTGTCATGATCGTCGAGGTTATCCATGTAGAGGTAGCTGACGACAGCCAGGAGGAACATCCATCCAACATAAGTAGTCAGAGTCCACCAGTAGAGGACCACTCCCAGTGGGTGCTTCCTGTAACCAGTCTGGGATGTTGTACCTGTAGAGCTGTCATCTTTTGGGCATACTTGCAAGACCTTGCAAGATCCTTCCACTGGGTCAACATAGTGACTATTAATAAAACGTATTAGTATCGAAGAAAGAAGGTAGACAAGGAGTTGGTGTCAGTTGTCATACATGTAGTCAGCTGGCAAACGAATGAAGGACCTGAACCTTACTTGTACCAGCACCAATGGATGATACCAAGGGTAACTCCACAAACCCAAATGTAGACGGCAATGCAGGCCGGATGTGTCCACGAGAGTGAGTCTCCCTTGTCATACGCATCCGTGATCTCCTCAAAGATGTCTTCACAGGTGTTGGCAAACTCGTAGTAGGACGTATAGTTGGTTTGACAGACATCATAGGTAGTGACAATCTTGGGACAAGCAACAGGGGCACACTGGCTTTCGCAAGGAGACACGAAGTTGGGGTCACAAAAGGTTGCACAAGTCCCATCTGCACAGAGCATCTCGTACTCTGAACACTTCATTTCAGCAGGACAGTCTTCGGCAAACTCAACACACACTCGTGGGCAGGTCGTGGTAGCGGGACAGTTGAAGGTAGGATCCACATAGTCACCAAACTCTCCCATGGCACCGCCAAAGGCAAGGCAGAGCAGGACCAAGAGCTTCATGGTGGCGCTAAAAAGACAAGCAAAAGTATACCGGTAGCAAGGGGTACTAGCTAGTAGGGTCAAAAAGTCAAATTCGGTGTCTTTCTTTTGAAATTGTGGGACTTTATCCAAGGTCCAACCTCGTTGAGCGGTGGCCAAGATATCCCAGAGCTTCCCGTCTACCTATTTTAATATCGCGCCGGCAATTTATGAGAAGCATTGCCGATGACTCGACTCGGTCACTCGGAGAGATGTTGAGAGGGCTATTTGCCTACGTCTGCCGTCTGCGTACCGGTAGGATTCGGTACCCCATGCAGACTTTTAACTTTTATTAAGGCTTTACCAAGATCCACTGTACCAGCATGATTTTGTACTGTATGGTTAAATCCTTCTAGGTACTAGGAAATGAGCTATTAATAGGAAATAATGTCAAGTTGTTGTGGTCATTTTAACTGACGTGTGCCTTGCGTCTCCTTTTGTTGACAAGAAAAGAGCTGCCAGGAGCCATAAGAGCAAGCTCTTATTAAGGTTTTAGAGAAGTTCTACTCCAGTATTCCAAGAGCTATTCCGATTATTCCAAAAGAAAAGGCTGTTTGTTGAGACAGAGGAAATCCAGGGGAATCTTGGTTGCCGTAAGATTCTTCCAAATGGCAAGTACTAGCTAGGTACTAGTTTAGACACAGTGACTTAGTATGTCATGTAGTAGGCACCCTTATATTGGCAAACAGAAAGCGTGATGGGCACTGCCCGTGAGCAGGGTTCAGGAAGCTGTTCAGGGTGCTTTCAATGTCCTCACCTTCACACCTTCAGAAAGAAGGTCGTACCGGTAAGCTTACCGCTACATGTAAATGAAAGAAATCTATCTGATGAGACTGCCATACCTGGAGATCTGGAGACCTGGAGACTACCTGGGCTGTGGGCTGTTGCCTTGGAAACTGCACTCTGAGCTCTGAGCTCGGATGAGTACCGTCGTACACGTACACCGTGCCGACCGTAAAGGTTTCATGTTTCATGGTTTCAAATACATGTAAATGTCTTCCGCAAGAAAAGGCTGTTTGTTTGTTTATTTTGTTGAGAAAAGAACAAAAGAACCTTAGAGGAAGACTCGTCCTAATTCAATAGATCAGATCTAGTCAGCTTTCAGACCACCAGACTTTTGGTTGCAGTCAGATTCATCATCAAGAGAATTGACAGTTTTAAATGAATTAGTGAGTAGCTGAAGTTACTACAGTAGTTACTAGACATTGCGGATTGCTTACATCGTGCCAATCTAGTAAGCCGGGCTCAATACCGGTGACAACTGGAGGAGGCAAGATAGAGACTCTCTACATGTACTGAGTACGTAGCTACCGAAGTAAGCAAAGAGCAAGTTGGATGGGGACTTTCGGTGTAACCTTCCAGAAAGAAGTAGTTAGACATTGCGCATTGCGGACATGGTGTCAATCTAAGCGTCAAGGTCAATACCATTGTTCGGAAACCACAACTGAAAGAGGGAATAGGCAATACTAGAATACTCAGTGGGCAAAGCTGTACGGAGTTGGCTTTGGATGATGACATCATTGTAACCTCCGGCCGACCTTCAGAAAAAGAAACTTGATGGCTTGCAGATGGAGGCTGCTGCCCGTAACGCTTTAATAGGTGGCAAGTGAGCATTAACAATATGCAAACTTGCTCATTGCTTTTGATGCCAGCTATGCTTCGCTGGTCTACCAATCGGTGAACCAAACGAAATGCATCTGAGTCAAGACGTCAAAACTGGGTGGGTGGAGGGTTTAGTGATGACCACCCTCAAGCACAGATACCCTCAGTCACCCGGTGAGCCTACCTAGCTAGATGCATGTGTAACACAGCAACGTTGCAGGAAGATGTCTCTTGCTCCTGCTTCCTTTCCTGTTGGACATCCTCGAAAGCCCATAAAACTTTAAAATGCTGCCTCCTGGACTGACCACTGGCTATAGACAACTAACTTTGTTTGCCATAGCCCACAGGAAAAGACGAAAGCCTTTGGACAGTTGGAGAGCTCCAGAGTATATTCTCTTTCCTCTTTTGCCCCTACTCTGTTTGGACGTTGGACCATAGTTAGCAAGATAGCTACATGTACCTGGTAGATAGAATCTGATGTGAAAATAATAAAAATAATAGGTAATCAGTGAAGTACTTTTTACACACCCGTGATGGGCAGCGTGATGACATATGGTCAGCTGTGTTTGAAGAACTGTTGAAGTGAAGTTCACCTGCAGGTGCTCCAACCTGCCGGTTCTTCTCATACTACAATGTCATTGTCATACGTCAGGCTCTACAAGCACTTCTACCTTTGGATTGCTCGGGGCATACGCGTGGAGTAGCCAGCTGGACGTGAGTCGAGTCGAGTCGAGTCGAGTCGAGTCGAGTCATCAGTTGGTTTGACAGCTTGCGGGCTTCTATTTGGTCAATGGGCGCGCAATAATTGAGGAAGTCATGTCCTCAAGCACAAGGGGCTTCCAAAAGGAGTACTAGCTAGTAACACTTCAAAGTGTTGCTGCGAAAAACCAGCTGCTGCAGCATCAAGGCTGCCAGAGATGGATCCTTCGAGCACAGAGGTACGGTGCCAAAAGGACATTATAGAGAGTCCAGCATGTCCCCAACGTCCTACTACAGAGTGCCTCTGAAGGTGGCGTTGGCAATTGCCCACGAGCACAACCCGCCAAATGTACAATGACATTGGAACAATGGGATCTGAAGGCACAGGAAGCGAATCTGATATCACAGAAAAACTGCCAACTTGAAGGCGCCGTCACAGGCAGTCAGCTTGAATACCGGTACAGAGAGAAAATGGTTCGATGCTCCTGGAATGGAGGAGCAGCTTCGAAAATGAAAGAAAGGGCAAATGCTGTGCGTGGAAATCAAAGAGCCACAAGCCATTCCTGGAAATGGTTACCCTCAGTACGAACCACCTCGTCTTGCTCGGGCACCTCCCCCTTGAACCCGGTGTGCTACAATGTACTATCAGCCGAAACCTGTCGTTCCCTCCTATTCCCGTCGACCATATTCCGCCTCTTGAGTCAACCTCCGGAGAAGGAATGCGGTTGATGGAGGGATTTAGACCAACGCATCCACGAAGCTCATTGTGGTCACACCAAGGGAATTGCCCAACTATGTTACGAGTTCCAAAAGAAGATGAATCAACCGCGGCCGCAACTTAATTTGCAAGGCAGGAAGTAGAAAGTGAACTGATGCAAGCTACTCTAAACCCCCTTCGATATATTGCAAGCTCCAGCCCAACCATGGAGAAGGAGCTCCATTTCGGGATCCCTTCTGCCTTGGTCAGGTCGGGGTGATATTGATGCTTTCCCCTGTTCTGTTCGTTAGGAGTGAGTCAGTCAACCAACCAACGAGGATTGCCGATTGAAGAAGCAATAAAATGGTCCTACCGTGCCGTACGTGCATTGGAACTGCTGGTGTCGATCTCATAGATACTACTAGCTAGAAGCTGCAAAGCTTGAATTACCTCGCTGTGGTACTACGGTACCATCAAACAGCCAGTCCCGCGGTCGCACCCATGGGAGTGGCGCCGGATTCGAAGTCGAACAGGAAGGACGCTACGTGCTGTCCGAGCCATGCGTCTGTTCCGCGGAGCCTTGCATCGAAGCAATGACCCAACCAGCTCCCCAGTTTTCGGTTGCATATCCAAGGGACTTGATAGCCTTTGACGGCGAATCACTCAATCGACTCAACCCCCATCTTTGGGGCTACCGGAACCTTCACCGCTGACTTCATGAATGCTATTCCGCACATCTCCAACGCGACAGAACTACGGTACGACCAGCAGCTTGAGGGACATCTATCTCATTGATTGCCCGGCAAGAATAGACATGGATCGGCTTTTCCTTCTGTGCTTGTCCCGCTGCAGCTTTGTATCTCGCTACGGTCTGTCCTCCGATGGAGCTTGCATCAGTGAGTGAAGGATGCTTGGCTTGTTTCGACCAGGGGTATAGTGCCGAGCGCTGGATGCATGCCGAGCATTCGAACGAGTAAAAATCCATCCAACTCTTCTCCTCCAAAGCCGTGACGACCTGGCCTTCTTTTGTCCAGTACCACGTATACCTGGTGAGACAATAGAAGATGTCGCTTGTCCTCTAGCTAGCGTATCCTCCATGTCGTGGTCGCATTGAACACCCAACGTAAACTTGGTTGTCTCGTAGGTCTGCCTTCTCGTGAGGGCTGCGATGTGATCCGATTCCATGCATGACAGTGTCACTGTCACAACCACTATCACTACCGTACCGGTTGGATCAATTGCTTTCTTGGTGTCTGTCGCTCCTACATCTTTGTTTCTCCCGCAGCAATCTCCTCCTTTTTCAGTTGTAAATGGGGACTGACATCAATTTCTTGTTGTGAGTAATGAAAGTTGCCTCGGTAGTGCAAGTGATAATCCATGTAATTGGGACAGAGTCTTTGTAGATGATGATCATGAATGATGTCACAGTGTTCACCTCCAATACGGGCTTCCATGCCAGGGAATTCAATATGGGGTATCCAGGCAATTCTTCCCTGGTGTTGGAGGTGGGAAAATCCTGCATAGAGATGGCTTTCAGCATGGAGTTGATGGTGTAACTCTTGTTGCTGATATTGATTGAAAAGTGCCGTGTGATTGACAGCCCTGGGACGAAAGGCATGAAAATCAGTCAATAGCATGGTGGTGTCATTGTTGCCATTGGTGTTGTTGTTGTTGTGTGGATCATTGTTGTTGTAGTGGGTATTATAATGAGTCCAGTGACCGAGAATGGCATCAATGGACTGGTTGTGCATGGTTTGAAGTAACCAGGTATCATTGCGAATGAGGACATCAGGATTCATGCGTATAATCCAGTCATATTGGTGAAACCAGTTGTCTTGGGGTAAAAATGGGTCCACCATGGCTCGAATGGCTCCATCCTGTTTGGAATCAATGGGTTGTTGTGTGAGTGTACTGTAGTGTCTCTCCTGGAATCTGTGAAATGTCACTTTGGGAAATCCCAATTGAGTAAAGAGCTGATCATCTTCTGCAGACTGACTACTTGTGTACACAATGAGGTCTGCCTGGGACAGTAAGGATGGAAATCGTTGCAAGGCAGTTGGCCAGCAGTCTAGTAGAAAGCCACGTTGCTTGGGAGAACTTGCACTGGTTGTCATGTAAATGGCAATCTTATTTCTGGTACTGGTACTAGTACCACTGGTATCATCATAGGAATCCTCATCAGAGCTACTGCTGCTTGTACTGTCAGAGTCATCTGAGTCTTCCCCCTTCTTCTCCTTGCTCTTTTCTGTGAGCTTGCTACCAGTACTGCGACTGCGAGTCGCTCTACTAGTACCAGTAGCTCTCTGCAGCCGTCGGCCTTGTGGCTTGACAGAAGCATCTTGCTGAAAGTCGTTCAAGTCTTGCCAATGCTGGTATTTATAGGGTGCCAGCTGCAGGATTGAGTCAGTCTCCTCGATAATGGTACACACAGTGTGCAGCAAGAGAACCAACGCTCCAACAAGAACGAGAAAGCGAGGCCGAAACGGTGTCATGCTAGGATTGATTGGTCAAGTACCAGGTGTAGTGGCGTCTTGCTTTGTTGCTTTTTATTGTGTGGCACCGTACAACAGTAATCATTCATTCATTTCAACACCAGGTCCAATCCATCCGAGCTTCCACTGCCAGGTGCTCGTTCTGCGCTCCCAAAATGTGAGCGTTTTCGTCCCGAAGTTTGAAGCTTAAATCTCAAAGGACTCCGCAGTCACAAATGCTTCAAATAGGTGATTGCCGAGAATTAATAACGTTACGAAATATTTAACCCTTACTGCTCTGCAAAGTCATGGAGTCATTGCAATTTTTCCGCGGCGTGCACGTGACCCAGTCATTGTGAGAGAATTAGAAGCTTAAATCTCGGAGGACTCGGCAGTCATCTGAGCTTCGAATAGGTGATTGCCGAGAATTAATAACGTTACGAAATATTTAACCCTTACTGCTCTGCACCCCATACCGAAGTCATGGAGTCATTACAAACCCGTTGTCTCAAAGGACAGAAGAGTCATCTGAGCTTCGAAAAGGTGATTGCCGAGAATTAATAACGTTACGAAATATTTAACCCTTACTGCTCTGCACCCCATACCGAAGTCATGGAGTCATTACAAACCCGTTGTCTCAAGTCTCAAAGGACAGAAGAGTCACCAGATCTTCAGAAAGGTGATTGCCGAGAATTAATAACGTGTCGAAATATTTAACCCTTACTGCTCTGCAAAGTCATGGAGTCGTTACTATTTTGTCGACGGTGACCAGTGTCTGTGCGAAGCGGAACACACACCGTCAAAAACCGTCAATGGGTTTGGCTCGTCGAGCACGGCACGTTGCGAGGTATTGAACAGCTATCGCAACACATCACGACCTTCGTATACTATCGTACTAGTCTAGTATGACGGCTGCCATCATCCTTAACCATGATCCATCGGGATGGTTTACGAGTTTTCAGTCTAATCCTATTCAGGTTTCAAAACACGAGTGAATTCTCGATGGAAGGTCGGTTTTCGACCAAAAGATCCCGATCGATGGCAACAGGTCGAAACCGCACCCCCGAAACGGTGCGAAAACGGTGTATCGGAAACCACCCTTACTGGTTCCGTTTCATCTCGATCTCGAGGATCCACTTTCACTTTCCGTGAGCTCATAAATTGCTGCTTTGCAAATCAACATGCATTGGGCACCCAGAGTCTTCCCTTGTGGAGACTCTGATAGGTGTACCGCATGACTCTTCGACTTTGACACCGATGTAGGTGTGAGCAAGATGGTCCACAAAAGGACTGGTTTGTAGCATTCTGTCAAGAGACTCATCCGCAACACTCCAAAGGAGGTTGGTCGAGGTGGTGAGCTGTTGACAATGGGGGAGGGCAGCACTCGGCGGCTGTGCCGAGTGACTGAACCTCCTTTCTGTTCCATCCAAGATGATGGAGATGTGTTGGAAGTTCTGGTGAGGTGATTGTGATGGCTCCAGGTGAGGGAGTCCAAAGCAACTCTGAGGTTCTGGCACCCCCAGAAATGGGGGTGATACTGGTTCCCGAGAGGAAGTGTGAAAAATGACACTTGTTACCAATACTGACTGGAATTTAAACTCCGTGTAATAGTGGGCCTGTGAGATCCCTTCTGCTATCAGGTGTGACAGGAGCAGATGTTTGGATTCTCATGTAAAGGTTACAGCGGCACAGTGATTGGCAGATTGAACCCAAGGGTTCAATTCTGCCACTGTGGGGCACAAAATGCTCAGACAACAATAGTAGCAATTTTTCAAACATAAACTTTTATAGCATCAATCGATCAATCAAAAAACCTCTCTTTCGTTCATTAATCCTTCCTATAGCTAGCTAGATCCATAGATGCATAGATACATTCCTTGTTGTCGTCCGCCCGAGGGAAACGCTGCAAACCCCTCACGGTCCTCTGGGCCTCGCCGTTGTTCATGCACGAAGATACAGGACATCCCGCCGCTGCATGGTTTCGAGTCGAGTCGAGAAGACGCGCAGAATTCTTGGAGTGACATAACGGCACACAATCCCTGCAACGACATGTTGTTGCGATTCTATACGGAGAAGGAGCTTTGCGACAACTCGATGGCTCAGCTTGTACGCAGACGGGGAAGACGTACAGTGTACCGCCTGTACTTTTTGTGCTCGAAAATTTCTTGGACTACAGTTATCCACCGCATACCGGTGCATACACCTGCCTGATGCCGAGACCAGCTGGGAGTCATGTGTTGCGTCAAAAACATACTCTAAGCGGTTGTTCACTTGTCGCTCTGTCTCTGTGAGCACGGCCGAGGAGCCCACGGAAAGACCTTGAGCATCGCGGATCGGCAGCCAGCAAAAGAAGTAGGTTGGCACAGTACCCATTCTGTCTTCGTTTCCGTCTTTGCTCGCCGCTGTTGCCGTTTCCAGCCGTAGCTCGGGGCCACTTGGTTTGTTGAGCAAAACATTACTATCTCTAGAGAGTATCTTACCATGTCGCGTGTGCATTGTGTTGCTTGTATACTAAACTGGCACGTGTGTTCGTTCGAAATGAGTCCTGCCTATTCAACAAGTTCGAGGTGCTTGTCCTTGTTGTAGCTGACGTTGTAATCCATATAACCAGGGTCACGATTCTTTTTGCAGAAGTTAATGAACTTGTGATCATGGACAATGTCACATTTGGCGCCCCCTATTCTGGCAGCCAAGCCCGGAAACTCAATGTTTGGGATCCATGCTACTCGTCCAGATTGGATGAGATGGGCAAAGCCGGGGTAAATATGGCTCTCGGCATGACTTTCCCCTGGCCGAAACCTTTCGTATTTCTGAAACAATGCTGTCACGTTCACAGCGTGTGGTCGAAAGGCATGGAAATCCGTCAGCAGCGCATTCGGATGTTCTGACCAAGCTCCGAAAATGGCATCCACAGCAGGTTCGTTATCTTCCGTCTGTTTCATCATTTGCTGCAGCATCCAGGTATCATTTCGAATCAGAACATCCGGGTTGAGGCGAATGATCCAGTCGTAGCCTTCAAACCATTGGTGATTCTTGTCTTGGAAGGGATCCAACATGGCTCGGACGGCACCTTCTTGTTTCTGCCGAACCTGACTTCGCGTCATATCCGCAAAGGGGGTTTCTTCGAATCGGTGAAAGACAACATTCTTAAATCCCAAACTGGTAATGTCCTTGTCGAACTCCCCCGACAAGTCGCTGGTGTACACAATCAAATCCGCCTTCTGGACCAACTCGAGTCGCTCCATCGAAGTGGGCCAGCACTTTTGAAGAAAGAAACGGTGGACAAAACTCATACTCGTAGTCATGTAGATTGCGATTTTCGGTGGTGACTGTTGCTTTGCAGAAGAGTGGTTCCTTTTGCTCTTCTTGAACAGACGTTTCCTCTGGTCGACCGTTTCATCGACTGATTCTGACTCTGATTCCGACTCGTCCTCCGATTGAGATACAGCAGGCCGTGACTCTCTCCTCAGGTTGGTCTTTTCTTCTGGTCGACGCATTTTAGTCCCATCTTCAGTCTTAGCCACGCTCCTGTAAGGTTCTGCATTTTCTGGCCCTGACGACGGTGATCTAGCAGCACCAATATGCTCGGGAGGATGCCTTGGTCGAAGCGCATCAGTAGCAATCGCAGAAGTCTCGGTTGTCTTGGGTTTGTAAGGATCTGCAGAAGATTCTTGACCCGAATGAAGGGTACCGTAGGTCCCAACGCCAATGCCACGATCTCCTCCTGCTTCAGTTGCCGGAAGCACAATCGTATCGGCATGCGATCTTTCATTGGCAACTACCGGTACCGGTACACGTAGTACTCTAGTTGTATGATGGTAAGTCTCTGCGGTTTGTTTCCAGTAGGTCAAAATGCGCTCTTCTTCAATCGTCAGCAAAGTATAGACGCAAATGTTGAAGATCACGACTAGCAACGTCCGACTGCGCAAACGAAAGCCAATCATTTTGGACTAACGAAACTAACGAATGATTGAAGCAGGTAACAGGGGAAGAATCCTTGTCGGAGAATGGTGAGGGTTGGAATAATGCCCCAAGTAGTACGAAACATTTGCTTTTCAGTTTGGTTATTATAGTCTACTAGCTAGTGGCAGCTGGGTGGATGATGCCAGGTACAAGCATGATTGTGCAGTCTTTGCCAGTTCCTGGCAAAAGATACGCTATCGACGAATCGAACCACAAAAGATACGATATGCACGAATCAATGTCCGCTTCAACCACAAGACTTGGCATAAAGTGTCTGAGTAGTTTTTCGACCGTCACACTTTTGCATGGTTGCCAGTACTAGTACCGGTACCGGTACTGTGCAGCCCACTAGAGATTGACATTGATAAAACCGGAAACATGTTCAGGTGAGAGCTCTGGTGCAAGAACGCAGAGGTCCTCAGTATCTGTTGTACCACACAATAAAGAAAGAAGCAGTAACGAAACCTAGAGTTGTAATCTTCTGTACTTGATCAATCCTAGAATGACACGGTTTCCTCCTCGCTTTGTTGCAGTTGTTGGGCTGTTGGTGCTCTTACTGCACACTCTGTGTATCCAGAAAATCATTGATGGGCAAGACTTCAAGTTTCAGGAAGATTCTGTAAAGTCCCAAGGTCGACAACTGCAAAGAGTGACTCAAACGAAGAAGAAGGTGGAGGAAGAACCAGGCTCCTACAACCAGTACAATGAGAAAGTGCCTAGACTGCAATTTACATGACCTCTAGGGCAAGCTCTCCCATGCAATGGGGCTTTCTGCAAGACTGCTGGCCAACTGCCATGAAACGATTTCCATCCTTGCTATCCCAAGCAGACCTCATTGTGTACACAAGTAGTCAATCTTCCCAAGCTGATCAGCTTTTTACTCAATTGGGATTTCCCAAAGTGATGTTCCATAGGTTCCAAGAGAGACACTATAGTCCCTACAGCTCACTCCTCCCACCACCACCACAACAAGTACCCATTGATCCCAAGCAAGATGGAGCCATTCGAGCCATGGTGGACCCATTTCTCCCCCAAAACAACTGGTTTCAGGATTATGACTGGATTTTTCGCATGAACCCTGATGTCCTCATTCGAGAATGATACCTGGTTACTTCAAACCTGCACAACCAGTCCGTTGATGCTTTTCTCGGTCACTGGACTCATTATAACTACCGCAACCATGACAACAACACAATTTTCGTATTGACCGATTTCCATGCCTTTCGCCCCAGGGCTGTCAATCACACGGCACTTTTCAATCGATACCAAGAACAACAAAAGTTGCACAACCTCCATGCTGAAGATCACCTCTACCCAGCATTTTCACACCTCCAGCACCAAGGAAGAATTGCATGGATTCCCCATATCCAATTCCCCCACCATGCAGCCCGTATTGGAGGTGTACAGTGTGACATCATTCATGACCATGGCATACAAAGACTCTGTCCCACTTACATGGATTATCACTTGAAATATCGAGGGGACTTTCATTACTCACAACAAGAAATTGATGCAAGTCCCCATCTACAACATTAGAAGCTAACTGCAAGGTAACCAAACAGGTGTACTGCTAGCTAGCTACTCAGAGTAGTGGTGAATGGCGGGCAGTAATAACATCATGCTCTGGAGACAAGTCCTGAAGTCGGATACCAGGTACGGTACTGCGTGGCGGCATTCCGTGGGCAAACAAGCCTCGGCACCAATTGACACACTCGGCTACATGTACACAGGTAACAACTGTTGTGATATCTGTTCTTCCTATGAGTCCCGTGAAAGCTCGAGCTCCATGGTATCTCGGATCTCGGCTTGTCTTAGCCAGTCCGGGACGTCCGGGAGATCCGAGACCAAAGATCCGAGACCCGAGAGCGATTGTCTCTAGCTAGTAGTAACGGGGGTTATTGTCTCTTTGTTACACCTTTTGTTCTATCTATCGTACTACCCGTAGTCCCCTCTAACCCATAGAAACCTCTCGATTACCTCTACTAGTATCATGCGAAAGCAAAAGTGACTGAACTGAACTAAATACATTACCCTAAGTACACTGTACTAAAGGTGTTTTACGGAGGGAGGTTATCTACGGAAGCCACTAGCCAGGCTTAAGTCGAAATTCAGAGCTAAGTCGAAATTGCTGGGTCAGTCTAGCTAGGCTTCGCCTCTTACCTGTGCATGCCGGGAATGGGTACTAGCTATAGCTGCACAGGAATGGTCTCCACCAAAACATACACCACGATCGGAGACTTTGAACCCTGTCTTTCAAATTCCACCAACTCGACCGTCCTGCCACCAAGAAAAGAAAACTTTCCCGAACTGGTATGAGTTATTTGCTTAATCCAGTCACTCTTTGCTACTAGTAAATCGTATGACTGCTAGTGTTGAAGGGCGGCCAGCAATATGACATCCTGGCTGGGTCGGGTCGCTTATTCCTGATTCCGGCGGTGTGTTGTCCTGCGTATACCGTGGGCAAACAAAGCAACAGGGACAGGCGAACTGGCACACTCGGTCACTTTAGGGTGACAACTAACTGTTGTGATATCCGCTCTGCCTGTGAATCCCATGAATGCTCCACCTCCGTGGGGATCTCCGATCTCAGCTACTCTTGTCCAAGATCTGGGAGCTCAGAGCCAAAGATCCAAGACCCGAGGAGAGCGATATTTTCTCTTCGTTACCTGAACCTTTCTACCGGTATCCAATCTGTTACCTTTTCTATACGTACGTTCTACTGTATCTATCATATGACCCATAGTCCCCTCTAACACATAGTAGCTAACCTCTCGAATACATATGCATACATGCAAGACAGAAATGATTGAACTAAGTACCAATGAAGGCGGTTTGCAGCAGGGCAGCAGGGAGGTTATCCATCGAAGCCAATGAGCCGCAGTCTTATTAGTTAGGCAAAGAAGAGTCGAAATTAGAACAAAGCAATCTTGACATGGCCTTCCGACTTCCGGCGAGAAAATTAGGAGACATCTCATAATAATTAGGAAACCTCTCCTACTAGAGCTTAGTTACCGCGTACATGTAGTTAGAACGGGTACGTCTCGTATTGCTTAGGAGACGTCTCCTATAAATACGAGACGTCTCCTATTTCATTGTCAATTGCCAGGACAAAAAAATCAGAAACTTTGCTTGAGCCAGTAACAACTTGTACCGGTATATGTGTATGCACGACCGCTGCCACAACAGCATCCCTGGACCGTCCGACTGTTTTCACTCAGGATTTAATCATCTCTGCTGAAACTGGCTTCGCTGAAACTTGTTCAAAATTGCTCTTATTAGGTAATTATTCTGATGGATAGTCTAGTTGAAGAAAGCCATGATCAATTGCATTCAATTAATCACGAAGTCGATCCATAGCTTACGATGTACCGGTGGCTCTAGAGCAGCTTGGAGCAGCTGCTAGAGCTACCGGTAGCTTTTGGTCCATTGCAATTGCAATACACGGCTCTTAGCCTTATTCGCGACTCGATCCTAGATAGGGTTTGAGTTCGACTCATGACTGAGTCTTTCGTGAATAGTCATTGAGACAGGGTTCTCATGACCGCTAGTCATACTAGGTCGATGGTGAAACATCGCGCTAGATATTTAGCTGCGTGGAAGAGATTCCACGCTACTAGATAAATCTAGACGAATCTCCACGCGTTCCGTTTTTGGATCGTGGAGGGAGTAGGATTCTACCAAACCTACCTTCACATCTACAGTCCCGCGGGAGTTACGATCTACGATCCTTTGATTGTGGATCTCTCTCGTTGATTAGGTTCATAGCTTTCTAATCCTCTCATACTTTCATTCTCAAACTCAAAACACTCAAAGAATCTTTACACTAGCTTTAGCGTAGTCATTTTGTTAACAAACACAATAGCTTTCAGCTACCCTCAACCTATTCCTCACCATGAAGAATGCCAAAGACGCATACACACACTCGAGTCTAAGCTGAGCACAAACCAAATCCTTCCTTTCATCGACCTCGATGATGATTGCGAAATCGACGATTCTCGCTCTACCACCTACAAACTCGCACTATTCCAGCAGATGCAAACAGCGCAAAGTACACCTTCAAGGTCCAAATCACTAATGGATCTGAGACTCCACTCAAACATCAAGTGGCTGGACGTATGGAGAAGGTTTCGTCGGGCTCGCCATTGCTACGCCGACGACAAACACAACCTCCTCAGAGAGATGACTTCTAGCTCTGCCAAGGCAGTTACGAATCTAGCTTTGCAGGCCACCGTGAAAACGTTGAAATGCCTTGCGCAGATTGCAGTCAACGCGATTCCTCCTCCGACATACGTGGCATGAAACGAAGCCACTTCCAGCACGTTTCCAGGTGCCTGACGGAGCAAGTCAGCTCTGCTTTGGACTACGCTGACATTACGTTTGGCGTAATAATGCCTGTATCGAACGTGCGTCCCTACAAGGCTCTTGAAAGGCAGAAACGCTTCATACGCCGCAAGATCGTCAAGCCTGCTGATATGTCTCACTCGGCTTATGTCACAACCTCAGTCGGATGAAACAACGATGAACTTCCTCTCTACCACTTTTGGACCCAAACAAACGTTGAACATACGAAGTCATTACATTGTTTGCATGGGAATTCCACGCTCGTGGGAGAAGAAGATGACGACCACAAGACTTCGATTCATTTCTCAGCTCCTACGAGAACACCATTGATTCTTGGAACGCATGAATCCTCCAGAAAGACTTTGAAAGGCCGTGAAATGCCAAGCAATCTTGGAGAAGAACAGACAGCAGAAGTATAATGTCTACTCGTCAACAACGACACACTCTTCCAAGAGAAGAAGAAATGGGCGACAACACGAGTCCAGCACTCACAACACTGTCTGACTGCATGACTTTGAAGAAGCATAAGGCCAAGTCTCAGTCTCGTCTGACAACGATAACAAGCCACGTACACAAGAACAAGACTTGAAACGCAAGTCCGCCGACGCCAAGTACCTAACACCAAGAAGGAACTCTCTGTCCTCATGAAGAGAGGTTTCCAACGCTGCGTCAAGGCTTATCCAAAGAAAGCGATGCAACATGTTGCCAGCCAAGTCTGACAACTCGACAACGAGGAGATCCTCTGTTGATCCATCACATGATGGACAAGAAAATGGCGCTGCGACAAGGCCCTCGCCAATTCGCTTCATCATTCGATGGAGGGACTCCGTCTGAGGAGTTGGCCAGGATGATGATTCAACGTGAACCTGTTCCGTTTCTCATACCTAAGTGATGAAGATATCTCACTAAATAGATGAACAAGATTTGTTTGCAATTATGAAGTCTACGGCAATTGGATAATTGCCTAGTAATTACTCAACTAGACACTGAAGATACTGTTCAGACATCGTTAAATTCGTCCATGCACAATCATCAACGTCGCACGAACAGAGACCTTTGAACTATCGTTATGTAGATTTAACAGACGAGCAAAGAAAACGAAAACCTTACACTCTGTGGCTGCTTGTACAGGAAGCATCCGGACTTTAATAATGCTCAAACTCTATGCTAAGAGTGTACTCATGAAGAACATGGGGCGTCCAAAATTAGGACTGCTTTTATGAAGGAATTGAGACCTCGCACGAAAAGTAAGGGCACACTATGCATTCCCGTGAGTTCCCAATGATAGAATTATCAAGTGGACTTTACACTAACCAAAAAGTTGGGGGCGCAAGACATATCATAGGTCAGAACTTTTGCGATCTAAGAATCATAGTTTGTTTCACTACCATGTCAGTGGGTGGGAATGCATATCTTTCCGTCAAGAGAGCAACACCAATGAGAGAAGAGAACTTCTCCATTTCGATCTGCAGCTGTCAGCGACAA